AATAATCGATTAAGAATTCAAACCTGAGAAATTGCGCTGGATCTAATCGATTATCTTAAAGGATATAATCGATTAAAATGAAAAATAATGCGCAAACACAAAGGGCCCAAGCCAAGTGCGATTGGAAGCACTTTGGCTTCTAACTCGTTGTTTGGGACAACAAGAATAACAAGGCACGCTCCTGTGATAATATCTCCCCATTCAATGAATTTGAGTAGGGGAGAGAAAAAGAGAGTCCAAAAAAATATTTTGTGTGTCAAACAATACACGAAAAAATATTTAAAGTATATTTTTCTCACCAAAGAAAATTGTGTAATCTTAAAAATGTTTTAAAGAAATTTTGACACACTTATTTTGAAACTGACTCACTAAAGTATTTTAGACAGAGAAAAAGTGATTTTTCAACTGACTCAAAAATAATTTTTATCCCTCAGAAATTAAATTGTTTTGTGGAGAAGATATTGTCATCCTTACAAAAAAAATTCCTAGACTCAATAAAAATAAAAAGTCTTCGGAGTTTTCGCTTCACTTCAAAAAACTGCGTAGGGGTGAGCGTGAATTATCGACGAAACTTCTTGATGCCCTTCTTTGCTTTTCTCGATCCGAATAAATTTTCGAATATTGATTGAATTTAATCATCCTGTTTGTCATTCATCAAAACAAAAAATAATCCAAAAAAAATGCAAAGGAGGTTTGAACTCATGTCCAACAATTTCCCCTGTTTTGATAATGACAAACATAGTTGAGAAAAAGCAAAGAAAGAGTTAAAGAAAATACTTCCCTTAATTGATTCCCCCTGCAAGGTTAGAGAAGTGCAGTAAAATAATCGTAGTAATAAGCGGAAAAACAATTTTGAAAAACAAAATTTCTCAACGATCCTTCCTTCCCCCTTTTGGCATTATCCACCGACAACCTTCCCCCTTAATTGATGCCGGGATTTTGAAGGATAAAAAATTTGTAAGAGTTTTCAAAAGAACTTCTAAGACGAATTGTGACAAAGGGACAATATGTTCTAAAAGAGAACCATATTAGCAATAACATCATTCACTAAAAGAGTTATAACAACAATAGCAAAGAACAATGTATCATAAAAAGTTAAGATAGAAGAGAAAATAATCAAAGAGAGTTCGCCGGACGAGCTCCTCCGCTGAAGCTGTGACGCGGGCCACGGTAGGAGCGAGATTGCTCAAGACGAGTCATCCTCTCGTTGAGCTGGCGAACGTCATCTCGGATGCACGTGAGAGTATCGAAGATCTTCTTCACCGAAGATGGTTCCGGTGCTTCTTCTCTCGGACGAGTCCTCCATTGACGAGTGACGCGCTCCGTGGCTCGACTACCTCCGGCTTGAGATGACTCAGCTTGATTCTCGTTTTGGCTTTCTTCTTCTTCTTCGGCGACGATCAAGTCCAGATTTGGTGCAGCATCGCCCTCCTCTCGATACACGATCCGGGAAAACTTGGCTTCAGTGATGAAACACGTCTTCTTGACCGGCACCTGAGTGTCCCGAGTAAAGTCTATTTTGCAATGAGCAAGGATATGCATGATGGGGATGGCAAAACGGAGATGGGAAAAGCGAGTGCCATCGCTAAGTGCAACGATAAAGAAGTGAACCCAATCAAATTTGACATCGTTCAACAGGACGTAAAACAAACGAATATCGTCCTTGTTGACGACGCCATGGTTCGAATCACGGGGCAACAAAACATATGAGAAAATGTATTGTTGGACGCGTTGAGTTAAAGTGAGATTAATGACACTTGGGTTGCTAGAGTTTCTAAACTTGAGGTCACGATGATCTAACCCGAGTTGTCGCCATATTGCCTCATCTTGGAATGTTTCATCCAAGTTTTCGGTAATTTCACCGCGACGAAGGCCAAACAAAGAAGTCAAACCGGCACCGTCAATGAAAACGGTTTTGCCGTCAACATAGGAAATGAGAGATGGCGAACTTCCCTTAGTGGTACGAAGATTTGCATAAGATTGACGTATAAGATTTGGACAGAAAAATTCATACGTCAAATGAATGAAACGAAGCAAGCCTTGCTGAAGGAATATAGACTTACTCGGGGCATAGGTCGCCGATTTGAAGAGATCCTTGTTCACGATCTTGGGAGAGACGATCTCCTTCGTGAGGAAGATGTTGTGGAACCTCTCAACTGAAGCCCCAGTGTTGAAGGCGAGACCCGTTTGAATGTGAATGTACTTGCTCCCTTCACGACGCCATGGCCTCTCATTCTCCTCTGCCGCCGTTTCTTGACCCGAGGAAGCATTCTTACACCTTGGCATTCTTCCTTTTTGAAATTGATGAAATTTGGCAAAAAATGGAAGAAATTTGAGAATTTTATGATGAAGATTGAGAAAAATTGAGAAGGGAAGAAGCTAGGGTTTCTCTGATTCGAAAAGAAGGAATGGCGAAGAAGACGAAGACTGGGTGTGATATAAGGCAAAAATCGACTATTAATCGATTAATCACAAGTTTTTAATCGATTAGGGAACACAGCCGAGGCTAATCGATTAAGTTAAGTTTATTAATCGATTAGAAGTAAGCAGAACCAGACGTCTCTTTTCAAGATATTAATCGATTAAACAGAGATGGTTAATCGATTAATATGGACAGATGAGTCTAATCGATTAATTGAACAAAATTAATCGATTAAAAGGTGAATCAGCGCTAAAGACGTTTTTGCATTTTAATCGATTAAAAAGAAACGAGTAATCGATTAAGAAAGACAGAGGCGACTAATCGATTTCTCTTAGAGGAATAATCGATTATAGCTTTGTAAAAAATATCAAATCCAATTCAGTTGAATACCAAGGGAAGAGATATCAACAATAAAAGCCCTGCAAAAAGAATTTATCGCGCCTCCGACGCTCAAATTAGTATAGTCAATAAAAAAATGAATTAGTTCATAGAGATATCCAAAATGCCAAGTTCGTTCCGAATGTGGAAGAAACTCTCCCTACTAAGGGGTTTCGTGAAAATGTCGGCCAATTGATGTTTCGTTTCAACAAACTCAATTGTGACATCTCCCTTTTGGACGTGATCTCGTATGAAGTGATGCCTAATTTCTATGTGTTTAGTCTTGGAGTGAAGAACGGGGTTCTTCGATATACAAATGGCGCTCATATTGTCACACCTAATTGGGATGTGATCAAGTATAAGGCCGAAATCCACTAGTTGTTGTTTTAGCCAAAGAATTTGGGCACAACAGCTTCCCGCAGCGACATATTCCGCTTCAGTGGTGGAAAGTGCAACACTAACCTGTTTCTTACTAAACCACGAGATTAACGAATGACCGAATAAGTGGCAAGTACCACTGGTACTTTTCCTATCGAGTTTGCAACCTGCAAAATCCGAGTCGGAATAGCCAACAAGATGACATGTCGAACCTTTGGGATACCAAAGACCTACGTTCAACGTGCCCGCGAGATATCGCATTATCCTTTTGATCGCAACCAAGTGCGACTCTTTAGGACAAGATTGATACCTAGCGCATATACAAACGGAGTACATGATATCCGGTCTACTCGCGGTAAGATAAAGTAAAGAGCCGATCATACCTCGGTAGCGTTTGATGTC